AATTACAAATGGTGGGAAATATTTGTAGCTCGGATGCTTTGGGGGTGGCGGTTTGTTCTCCGAGCTTCTTGTTTAGATTCCGAAACTTTTGTCACCAAATTCGGTAATGGCATCAGCGAAACTTCGGTCGAAACGTCTTCCTTCAGTTCTCTTCTGCTTTTATAAGGTCGTACGTGGTCAGTTGATTACTCTCCCGTGGCGTAGCCAGTCGGTCACATGGCCAACTCACCACATAAGATCTACAAAAGCAATGTCCCAAAGTTGCTTTTTAAAGAGGCAACTGGACTTTCTTGTTTTTCTTTGAAGATGTTTCGCTTCTCATCCAAGAAGCTTCTTCAGCTCTGACTGGATGGAGGGGAATGGAAGGATTTATACTCCTTGCTGACAGCTGGTCATTTGCATCCTTTCAGAGAGTAGTTGAGGCCACTTGGAGGTTTATCTGTGTCCTCAGGGTCACCTGAGTGGTGCAAATGGGTGATCTATCTATCTCCAGTCTACAAGACAGTCCTTTCAGCAGTTCCAAGAAGGCTCCACACCCATTTGATGACACAGATAAATCTCCAGGTGGCCTCAACGCCTCTCTAAAAGAAGGCAAATGACCAGCGGTCTGCAAGGAGTATAAATCCTTCCATTTCCCCACCATCCAGTCAGAGCTGAAGAAGCTTCTTGGATGAGAAGCGAAACATCTTCAAAGAAAAACAAGGAAGTCCAGTTGCCTTCTGAAAAAGCACCTTTGGGAAAACCATGACCTGGATGACGGAGAATCTCCATAGACATTTAAAAGCAGAAGAGAACTGAAATAAGATACTTAAACCGAACTTAACTATGATGTTACATTGCCTGCTGACGAAACGTTCGGAGACTAAATGACAAGCTCGGAGAACAAACCACCACCACCAAGGAAATTTATTTGTGAGAAGAAAGCAAATAAATTACATTTACTTCCTGAGGAAGTAAAGTGTATATCCCTAGTTAATCCTCTTCGTTGACAAATACGTTGCAAGCTTGATACTTCCCACTGAGGCAAAGCTTCCTAAGTTTAATAATAATAATAAAGTTGGAAGTGACCTTGGAGGTCATCTAGTCCAATCCCCTGCTCAGGCAGGAAACCCTATATCATTTCAGACAAATGGCTGTCCAGTCTCTTCATAGAAACTTCCAGTGTTGGAGCATTCACCCCTTCTGGAGGCAGGTTGTTCCACTGGTTAATTGTTCTAACTGTCAGGAAGTTTCTCCTTAGTTCTAAGTTGCTTCTCTCCTTGGTTAGTTTCCATCCGTTGCTTCTCGTCCTGCCTTCAGGCGCCTTGGAAAATAGCTTGACTCCCTCTTCTTTGGGGCAGCCCCTGAGATATTGGAACACTGCTATCATGTCCCCCCTGGTCCTTCTCTTCATTAAACTAGACATACCCAATTCCAGCAACCGTTCCTTATATGTTTTAGCCTCCAGTTTCCTAATCATCCTTGTCGCTCTTCTCTGCACTCTTTCTAGAGTCTCAACATCTTTTTTACATCGTGGCGACCAAAACTGGGTGCAGTATTCCAAGTGTGGCTTTACCAAGGCATTGTAAAGTGGTATTAACACTTCACCTCATCCTTATCCTATTCCTCTATATTAATGTTTCTTCTTGTATTTTGGATTACAAAGTCCTCAACTTACAACAGTTCATTTAGTGACCATTCAAATTTACAATGGCACTGAAAAAGGTGATGTACGATCCTTTTTCGTTCTGACGAGTGTAGCAGCATCCCCACGGTCATGTGATCAAACTTGACAACTGGCCCGTATTTACGACGGTTGCTGTGTTCCCTGGCGCCATGTGATCCCCTTTTGCAAATCTTTGACCAGCAAAGTCAATGGGGAAGCCAGATTCACATAACAACTGGGCGGCTGATTTAACAACTGCAGTGACTCACTTAACAAATGTCTCGCGTAGCAACATAAATTTTGGTCGTAAGTCGAGGACTACCTGTACACCTTCCATTGGCCCCAGCCAGAACAGTCAGCTGCAAGGGAGGCTGGGAATTGTCCAAAATATCTGGGGAATATGGGACGGCCCT